TTAAACATTCAAAATACTAGAAAATGCATTTGGTTAATGCAAACATTAAAAATTGAAATTATTAATTAAATGAGGATAATATGGTAAATTTACGTGTTTTCATATTTAAAAAAAATTAAAATTAAAAGAAAAATAAGATAATGGATCCTATTTTTATGGAACAGAACTACTCATTATCTTTTTTAATTCTAAAATAAATTATTAATAAAATAATAAAATAATAAAATAATAAAAAAGACTTTCGCAAGCGCAGAAGCATGTACGGATAGGCTAGTGCTTATTTAATGAAAAGTTTCAATGTGTAATAAATTCATTCCAACAAAAAAACAAAAACAAAACAAAATTATGAAGTAAGGACAATTTTTGGTTTTTTGGATGTTTTACTATACTCTCTCTATTTTTTGCTTTATATATCATATTATATGATTTCGATAAACGATAAAAAAAAACACATGAACGGAAAATAAAATACAACATGGATGTCTGGATGAAAAAAAAAAACATGGACTCAACAAGTACTTGTAGTTTGGATGATCTTAAAGTCTTACATCCTTTAGTAGTCTCCGTGTATATAAATTTGTATATTAACGGATTGTATGATTGAGAAAAATCAAGACAAAACCTTTTCATGTTTTAACAAGTCCACGTCCAAAGAGCTCACTCTAAAAGTCTTGTGCATGGCTCATTTGCACTTCCAGAAGCCGCATGGTGAAAGTCAAGTCGGTCCCTGAAATTGCTCTGGGAAAAGTCATAGTTGTAAACAAATCCTAATTATTGTAGTAGAATAAAAACAGGCCCATGAAATTAAAACATGCATATAAATTCGAGATCATCCTTGCGGGTCTTGGCATTATTGACTATGGAACCATTCTTGCAATGGTACCTGCTTGCTAAGGGAAGGCTTTGGGAACCATTTCAATTTTTGTCTCTAAGTCACTTTGTATACCATGGTGATTTACTGTATCTATTTCCTTGTAAAGTACCCTTATAAACTCCTATATATATCTCTTTATGGAGAAGAATACAACTAACCTAAAGTATAGTATATTCAAACCATATTCATATTTTAGCATTATGTAGCCGTCAAACATTGAGAAGTAATCATCTTCTCCAAAACAAAATTTGTCACTAATTCACCAAAACAGTCTCTGTTGGTTGTCTATTGATTTTTTTAATAAAGAACATTAGAAACTATTATCCTTTTAACATTATTTAGATGATCTATCTTTAGATGCTGCAAACGTAAATGGCCATGGGTGCTGTTGATTCATTGTTGGAATATGAAGTTATATGTAGTCTGTTTGAAATGGCCATACTTGTGTTTCTCAATGTTGTTCATACTGTAGATTTGTAAATGGCCATGCTTATTCCTTACCAGCTATGATAAAAAATTACAATCTGAATCTAAACTCCCCGTTTGATAACCATTTCAATTGTAGCTAACTCTCTTTATATTATGCTCATGCTTTGTTGCGCTGGAAATAATGCATCATATAAGGAAATGAAGGAAACAAAGATTTGAAAGCCATGAACGAAAATAAAATCCAAACATTCATTCCTTTATTTGATCGTCTGCATTACAAATTCTTGACATCAACAATGTGTCAAGATCCAGGAAATTTATTTATTCTTCTCTATTATTAGGAACTATATGTATATAATATTATAACATATAAGATCCCATTATATATATATATGCTTATGATGGGCAGAATGTGATGAGGTAGTCAGGTCTACCACTGCATGTAAAGGTGCTGCTCTTGTCATCATAAGCATAGCTATAAGCTTGAGGGCACTGGGTCTTGAAGAGCTTAGAGTAATCAGTGGGAGGGCATGTCGCCGGCTTGTCGTTAGGTGGAGGGCAACAGTA